TCGCGGTGCTGAAAGGCGCCTGGTACCGAGCCCTGCCCGCTGCTCTGGCCCATCCCGCCAGCCCCTGCTTTCCTCTGAGACCTGGGGGGCAGCAGCTGCCCGCAGGCTGGGGTGGGGGTTCAGGAAGGGGCCTGAGTCTGGAGACTGGGCGGGAAGATACCCCCTCCATGGGCCTGACTTGGGGCACATGAGACTGAGCCCAGGGGATGGGGGGCCCGGGCCATCGCTGTCACCTGGGGACCATCTGCAGATGCCCAGCTGCCTGGCGAATGCACAGCGGCGGGCTCCCCTGCTGGCCCCCCTGGCGGGCTGGGTCCCCCACTTAGACGGGCCCCTGAGGGGGGCCACACCGCGGACAGGCTGGGCCTCCTGGGCGCTCTGCCTGCTCCTCCATTGCGTGGGGCGAGGGACTGCGTGGCTCACAGAGGGACAGGGTGGCGCTGAGCCTGGCACCAGCGGGGGGTGGGGGAGGGACAGACCCTCGGGCCTGCTGATGGGGAGTGGACTTGGCCCCCCACCCCCTGCTCGTGGTGCCAAGTCCCCTGAGCCCCGCTGGGCTGTTTGCCTTGGAGGTGGGGCGGGTTTGTGTCCGGCTGCGTCAGCTCTGGCCTGTCCTGGGGGCCGTCCCTGGCCGTCCCACCCAGGCTGTCCTACATGGCGCCTGAGGCCCAGGGAGGGGTGGGTACTGGACGAGGTGGGTCCTGAGCCCCAGGGCCGATCCCCGGGGCCTCTGTCCGTGTGTCCGGCTGTTCTGACCCGCAGTCCTGGGCGTATTCGGTCACACCCGTGTTCTTTGGAACTTTAGTCGTGAGCACACTTCCCTCTGGGGCCTGGGACACACGGGCTTTGCAACAGCAACACTTCATGTTTATTTTTTAAAATATCTTTTTATTGATTTCAGAGAAGAAGGGAGAGGCAGAGAGAGAGGAACACCAATGATGAGAGAGAAGCACTGATCGGCTGCCTCCCGCATGCCCCACAACCCGGGCCTGTGCCCTGACCTGGAATCAAACTGTGACCCCCTGGTTCCTAGGTCGACACTCAACCACTGAGCCATGCTGGCCGGGCTTTACGTTTTATTTTATTTTATTTTTTCTGTAAGGAAATATAAACCTGGTGTGGCCCTCTAGGTGGATGGAGGTGGGGGGGGGGGGTGACCGAGAGGGGAGAGGCGGGAGAAGGCCCCTCTGTAGCAGCCGGGTCACCGCCTGGCTGGCGGAGCCGCACTGCTGCCCACAGCTGGTGATACCCGCTCGAGGAACCCCCGCCCCTCAGGTCCTAGAAACCCAGGGCCCAGTCCTCCCGGCCCAGGTCCCGAGTCGCCGGCAGCGGGACGAGGCCCACGCTCCTCTCACCCTCCCTGACGGCCTCCCCGGCGGAGAGCTGTGAGCTCCGCAGTCAGCCCTGGGCTGGGACCACCGCCGCCTGCCTCTGCTGGTCACACAGCCGCACGACCCTCCCCAAGCCCGTCTCCTCCCCGTGGAGTGGTCCTGGCCCTTCACCCGCGCCCACCGCTGGGCCATCCTCACCTTCCCTCCCAGCCCCTCCTCACCCTCTGCCCTCCCAGCCCATCCCCAGCTGGTCTCTTGCTCCGGTCACCCCCAGCAGCAGGGCCGAGCGGCCTGGCCCTTTCCACTGCCCCCCTCTCCGTCCTGCCATCGGTGCACCTGGCCTCCCGGCCTCCCACCCTCCCCCTGCCTGGACGCCCCCTTGGACCCCAGCCACCGAGTCCAGACCCCGCCCTCACCCAACGCCCCTTGGTCCCTTCTGCTCCTCCCGCAGCAGCACCGGCCGCGCAGGGAGGCCCTCGGGGACCACGGTGCACCCCTGGCCCCAAGGCCGCTGTCACCCGCCCCCCCTCCCCGCGCGGGCAGGGCAGTGCCCTCCTGTCCTTCCTCGTCAGCCGACAGGATATTTGAGTAAGACTTTGACGTCGTGCAGATTCTACAGGGAGTTTGCCAACTTCCTCAGGACCCACCCGCTGGGTGGGAGCCGTGCTGACTCACGGAGCTGCTCCCCTCTCAGCGGGTCCTGCTCCGGGTCCGGCCCCCCAGGGCGTGGCCACTCCGCTGGGCCGCGGGGCAGCTGGACCCTGGGCGAGGCGGCTGCATCCCAAGGACATGGTCCTCGGGGCCGAGGGAGGGGAGGCGCCGCTCAGGGGCTGCGCTCAGGGGCTGCTCGGGTCCGGCCGCCTGACTGTCGCCGGTGCCCGCGTTCCCGACCCTGGGCTTTGCCTGCAGCGTCCTGCCCGCGAGGTGCGCCACCGCCCGCAGGGCCCCTGCCCGTGCAGAAGGCTGTCCGGCCCCGGGCACACCCAAGGGCAGGGGCTGGGTGTCCGGCACGCGGGCCTCAGACCAAGTGGCCTTCTCCAGTGACTCGGTGCCAGGGTGGGAGGCCCAGCACCCAGTGTCCCGGGTGGGTGGGCGCTGGCAGCAGAGGCCAGAGGCGGCTGTGACCTGCCCTGCCCACCACGGTCACGGGCTGCCCAGCGAGTCGGTGGTGGGCAGGGTGGCACCGGCAGCGCAGGGTGGCCCTCGGGCGCCACCGGGAAGGCCCCCAGTGAGACCTCCGGGGGCATGGGCTCCAGAGAGGCCCAGGCTCCGGGGTTCCCTCTGGCCATGTGCCCACTCACCAGGTGGGCAGTCACCCCGCCCCCTCCTGGTGCCCCGCAGGGAGGGGGAGGCGCGGGCCTGGGCCTGGAGGAGCCACTGCGGTGGCAGGCGGTGTGGTGGCCGCGTGGGCCACGCCCAGCTCTGCAGCTCTTTCCGGAAAGTGTCACTTGCATAACCTGGGGGGCTGCGGCCGTGGGGGGCGGGCAGGGACCCGCTCGGGTTACGTCCTGCCACCGGCCTGGGTTCCAGGCAGGAAGGTCTTGCTGACGGTGGGGGATTAGTCACCTTGGCACCCATCCCGCCCAAGAGGAAGGGGCGGCTCGCTCCGACACCCGATCCGCTCAGGGGGCCTCTGAGGCTGAGGGTCAGCAGGTCACGGGGCCAGCAGCTCCCAGAGCCTCCGCAGAGAGCTCTCTGCTGGGGAGGGAGGTGCCCTGCCGCCCTGTGGCCGGGTCAGTCCCTCACGCTCGGGCCATCTCCGGCGTGAGCGGCTGCCTGGCCTCCCCGCTGACCCCTCCCCGTCTGCTCCCGCCTGGCCAGGGTCACCACAGGAGGGTCAGGCTCGGGTCTGCTCCACTGCCCACACCCGGGCAAACAGCCCGTCAGAGGGGCAGCCAGGGACTGGGGCAGGACCCGCACGTCCTGCTCAGGCCCAGACTCGAAGGACAGGGTGGCCGGGGGTGGGAGAGGCAGCGTGAGCCAAGCGTGCGGCCACATACATCCAGCCTCACCCGGGGACCTCTCTGCCCTGAGACCCTGGGGCCTCGGCCCCTCCGTGGCTCAGCCCTGCCACGTCCCCCGGTGCAGCTGGCCCAGCCTCCACGGACATCAGTCCACGCCGGGACTCTTGGGACCCCTGGCTCAGCTCCCGCCGCCCAGGCCTGAGCTGGAGGCGTGGGCCACGAGCTGCCCCCGTGGCTACTGAACCCCGGAGATGGAGGGTTGGTGCCGTGGCCCCAGTCCCACCTCCACCCCCGACTCAACCCAGTTCTTGCAGCTGAGGCGGCGTGATTTGGGGGACAGAGCCTTGGGCATCTAGCTCCAGGACGGGGCTGAGACACTGCCCACCAGCTGGGGGCCACGGCACCGGCTTCCTGCGCCCGGGCTGCGGACCCCCAGCAGGCAGCACCCGGCCTCAGTTTCCCTTTGTGAGACCAGGGGAGGAGCCCCTTGCTGTCCCAGAGGACGGTGCTTAGGCCTCACCCTCCACCCTGAATCCTCGCCAGGCTCCTCAGCCCCCTGCCCGGTGTCCACAGGACCCTGAGCCTGAGGATGGCCCCTGGCGGCCCAACTGTCCAGCCTGCGGGCCCCCAGTCCCGCCGGCCAGCCTCGGCCAGTGGCCAGTCCGGAGCCACACACCCCACCACGCACCCCTCAGCACTGCCATGCACCCCCAGCACCATCAGCTGGCTGGTGCCTGGTCCTGTCGGTTGGTCTGCTCTGGGTGACCCCTCCCCACACTTGGGACCCCCCAGGATTCCTGCGTGGGACCAGCTGTGTCTGGGGCTGACCTCAGCTTCCCTGTCCCCACACTCTCAGCCTCCAACAGCCCCCCGTGCAGCCTTTGGCGAGCATGTGGATGGGGGGTCTGCACACTCCCCTGGAGCCACCCAGGGTGGGGCCAGGCTTTGGGAATGTGGGCGCTCAGGGCGAGGCTGAGGCCTGCCGGCTGGTGGAGGGGGCAGCAGGACCTTCACTGATCAGGGCACGTCCACCCTCCGCGGGGGATTGGTCTCAGAGTGCCTGCAGGTGCACACACACACGGGTATGAATGCACAACACATGCGCACACATGATCTGCACATGCTTACGTGGTTATGAACACACGGGTATGCACACACTCATGGGTATGCACATGGACACACACACACGTTTGCACACACACACCCAACTTGCATCGTGTGGTGGGAGGGTCCGGAAGCTTTGTGGGGAGGAGATGGAACCCTCCCCTAGAAATTTCCCCCTCAGGGGGCCCTCTGGTGCCGGACGTGGTCAGTGGGTGGGTGGTCAGTGGGTGGGTAGATGTGGGGGCCTCCTCCCCTCCCCCCCCCCTCCCCTGGGCCCATGGACATAAAACACCACACAGAGCCGGGTCTTGCAAAATGCTCCACGTATATTTCTGGAAGGTCGGACCCTCCTGAGGCCCAGGGCAGAGGTAGGGGGGCTCTGTCCCCGCAGCCCCGAGCAGCCGGCCGTGTGTCCAAGCAACGTCGTGGATACGACCCCGCGCGAGGCTTACGTCTGGGAGCAGTGGCCGGATCCACGGCCAGACTGGGCCCCCAGAGGAGACAGGCGGGTGGACAGCACACCCCAGGCTCGGCTGCCAGCCCGGGCCAGGGGGCTCAGGCTCCTGGCTGTGGGAGCTGGATCGCAGGGAACACAGGGGGTTCAGTGGGGAGGGAGGCGCCCCTCAGCCAGGGGCAGGGCCCGGGTCCCTCGGCTCCAGCGCCCGAGCTCAGGGTCCTGCCTCTGCAGGTCCCCGCGGGCGTCGCAGCGCTGGCCCACGCAGCCGCACTCCTCCACCTGCGTGTAGCTGAAGGCGCGGCGCGATCCGTCCGCGCAGCGCAGAGTCACGTTCCTGGGCGAGGCCCGCAGCTCCTGGCAGCAGCGGCAGCTGTGCTCCAGCGCCTGGGCCTCCAGGGAGTACCTGCGGGTGGCAGGGGGCTCAGCCTGGAGCCACGCACCCCACCACGCACCCCCAGCACCGCCCGCGGGGACACCCTGCTCTCGGAGGCACGCTGGCCGTCGTCCAACAACCACGTGTCAATACTCCCGTGGCTGGCCCAGCCGGCATGGCTCAGTGGCTGAGCATCTGTGATGAACCAGGAGGTCCTGGTTCGATTCCTAGTCAGGGCACGTGCCTGGGTTGCCGGCTCCATCCCCAGTAGGGGGCGTACAGAAGGCAATCAACCAATGATTCTCATCATTGATGTTTCTCTCTCTCTCCCTCTCCCTTCCTCTCTGAAATCAATAAACGTATATTTAAAAAAATACCCCCACGGCTCGTCTCAGGGCTGGGGGGGGGGGGTGCACGGGGGGCTCACCAAGCCACTGAGGGGGACGCTGCGTCTGGTCTCGGTAAACAGGGTCACATGATTCCTAACAGCTAAGGGCCTCGGTCCCAACCCCAGCCCCGAGCCCTCAGCCCACCCAGGACCCCTGCTGGCCCCTGCCCCCTTGGGCCACTTGGGGGAGTAGTCACTGCTTCCCCTTCCTGCCCCCCTCGCCCACCCCTCCCCGTCTGCAAATACGGAGCCCCGGGCAGCCGGCCGCAGCCCCTGGCCTGCCCGGGGGGTGGGGTGGGGGTGGGGGGCTCACATACATGGAGGCGGTGTCCCCGCAGTTGCCCTGGCAGTAGGCGAGGCGCACGGGGCCCGCGGAGCTGCAGCCCTGCAGCCGGATGACCTGGTGCTTGTGCTGGACGGTGCAGGTAGACTCTGGGAGGGGCGGGGCGGGGCGCAGAGGGTCAGGGCTGCCCAGTGCTCCCTGAGCCCCCCCCCTGGCCCCCCCGGAGAAGCCCACTCACGGTTCTGGGGCTTGGGTGGCGGACAGGAGAGGCAGCAGCCGTCCTTGCTCAACTGAGCCTGGTCCTGGGCCAACAAAGTGGGTGCCATCAGTGCCCGGCAGCCCCGGAAATGGGGCCGGGACGCAGGGCCAGGCTCGGACGGGAGTGGACCGCGCCCGGGTGGGAGGGTGGCCTTGCAGCCCTGCGGGGCCGACTGCACTCCCCATCCTGTCGGCGCAGGCCGGGCAGGCGGCGGGCCGGACTCACCGCCGGGCAGCTGAGCGGGGGGCACGCCTTCTTCGTGGTCACCACCACGAGCCCGTCCTGGTGCTGCTCACACTCATGGGTCACACAGCGGTCGCCAGGCTCCGACCAGGTCTCTCCGGGCTGCAGGGCCCCCCAGCTGGTGAGCGATCTCCCCAGGGACCTCCAGCGGAGGGGCCCTGAGTCCGTCTGTCTGTCCCCAGCCTGTGGCGTCCGAAGGTCTCCCTGGCCTCTGCCAGGAGCATGCCTGGCAGGGACGTCTCCCCGGGGACCCCAGTGCCCCGGGATCCCGCCCTCTCAGCCCGAACGGTCCTCACAGGGCCTTCCCCATGGGCGGGGGAGGGGGTGGGGCTGCCCCCTCCCCCCAGGCTCCTAGGAGTGGCTTTGATCCGCCCCCGCCTGTCTGCAGCCCCTGTCTCCCCAGCGGAGGACACCCCAGCAGTCCCGCTGCCACTACTCACGGAGAAGAGGCGGGCGGAGCCGTCGCTGGTGTTCATGACGCAGGCCACTGGCACACACGACCCGCAGCACTGCCCGCTCTGCACCCGGTACTCGGAGCCCTGCGGGGAGGGGGCACGTGCGGCCTGAGCCCCGGGGCAGCGCCGCCAGGGGGCTTGGCATGGGGCCGGCGGCGGGCACTCACCGCTGGGCAGTGGCTGTGGCAGGTCTGGGTCTCACAGCTGATCCTGAACGTGTCCGCCGGGGGCCCGCCGGGCACCTCGCACCTGCAGGTCTCGCACAGGCTGGAGGAGACCACGGCGCCGGGCTGCGGGAGGCAGGGCAGCCGCGTCAGCGAGCTGGTGGCCCTGCCTTCCCGGATATCCCCTCAAGGCTGGTGCCCTGCCCCCCGGGGTGGCCCTCAGGGCCTCGGTCTCAGGGTCAGAGCCCCCAGGCTGAGCCCCGTGGAGGTCACCATCTCCGGCCCGGTGGAGAAACGGGCGGGGCTTGGTCGTGCTCAGCACGGAGCCGGGTGCTGATCTCCGGCGGGTGCTCACCTGGTACAAGGTGCCGTTCACACTGCAGGCCGTCCAGGCTGTTGGGAGGAGAAGCAGCTGCAGCCCCGCCCTGGGTGCCCCGCACCCCTGCCCTCCCCCCGCCCTCCCCCTGCACCCGCCCCCTGCACCCGCCCCCTGGGCCTCCCGGGCGCAGTGCCCACGCTCATCACCAGTGGCCCCTTCTAGCTGTGCCCGAGCGAGGCCCGGCCCCAGGGGGCAGCGCCTGTGCCAGAGCGCCGGGGACAGGCCTGGACGCACGCGGGTCGCAGGCAGTGGGCTGGCTCACTCACCGCATTTCTGGCTGGGGCAGCAGGCCCCCTCCTCGTGGGTCAGGATCTGGCGTGTGCCCTCGGGACAGGCCGGGAGCGCCGGGCAGTAGCTGGTGTTGCAGGCTGCGAGGGCGGAAGGAAGCGCTCAGAGACCTGCGTGTCGTCCCCAGGGGTGCTGACCGCCCAGTGGGTGGGGGTGGGCTCTCCAGGGGGCACTGCCCGCCCCCAGGGTGTGGCTTCCTGGCAGCCTGGGCCGACGAGCCCCACCCTCCCGGGACACCTGCTGGGGTCACCCGATGAGGCCACAGCAGGGGCAGGCACTGCCCGTTCTCCTGGACTGTCCCGTCGGTGCCAGCACTGAGCCCCCATGGCAAGTGGCCAGTCCCGAGCCGGCGCAAGCGACCCTCGGCAGACCTGAGGACAGCGGCCACCCCCACCAGCCCGGGGCTCACCGCAGGTGTATTGGGGACAGCACTGGCCGGCCTGAGGGGACACAGGCACGGGCACAAGTCCAGGCTTGGGGCAGGCGGGGGGCGGCGCGCAGGGCTGTCTCCGGCAGCTCATGGTCCATGTGCCGGCCTCGCAAGTACACTCCTGGCAGTCGGAGCTGATTGTGTGGCCAGGCTGCAGGGGAGACACACATGAGCCCCAACCCCCGCGTCACCTGCCTGTCCCGGAGGCAGCCAGAGGCAGGGGCGCAGGGGGCCTGAGGGAGGGGCTTTACAGTGAGGTAGTGCCTGAGGCCTCTGGGGGCCCCTGGTGCCCAGCTCCTCCTTCACCTCTTAGCAGAGCAGGAGGGGTCCCAGTGAGGATGGGGCTGGCCAGCACCCACACTCCTCCAGGGCCCAGGGCTCCCCGTCCTGCTGGGACACTGTGTCCCCCTTGCTGGCCCTCCCCTGAGCCTCTGGCACTGAGAGGAAGCCCTGCCCCCCAGAGCCCCACACTCACCTCCACAGGCTCCCCGTGGGGCCCCAGGCAGCCTGGAGGGACAGAGATTAAGGTCACTGCTGGGCAGCCACGCCCCCCATCCAGTCTCTGGGGCAGAACCCGCAGACTCACAGCTACAGGAAGCCCCCGGTCCCGCTGAGGGCACACCCCGCCTGCCCCAAGCCCCCCGTGGGGACGTACGAGGGCAGCCCGTGGGCACGCAGACTTCCTTGCTCGCGCTGAAAAGCGTCATGCCCTCCGGACAGAAGCAGCCTTCCGTGACGGGGCCGGCGTTCTGAAGGGCCCTGCAGGGGAGCGGAGGGGTGTTCTGGCTCCTGTGCCCTCCCCCCTGGGGTTCTGGGGGTACGGGAGGGAGGGGCAGGCACATACACGAGGCTGGCGCTGTCGCCCCCGTAGCAGTAGGATGGGTTGGAGGGGCCGCAGGGCTGGTACACCTTGTCGGCGGGGCAGGTGAAGGCTGTGGAGAGAGAAGCCACACCTGAGGCCACGGCTCCAGCCAGGCTCTGGCGGAGAGCGGACACCTGCTGGGGGCCTGCATCCCGGAAGCCGGCCCCTCAGGCCCCACCCCTGCGCCGGAGGCCAGTGTGTTCTGCCCTGGAGTCCACCCTCTTCCTCTTCCTCTTCCTCCTCCTCCTCCAGGAGGCCCCCGGCTATGCTGCCCATGGGCGGCACTCACGGCAGGTGTGGTTGGTCCGGCCGCGCCAGTCGATGCACACGCCGTGGGAGGCGCAGAGCGCGGCGTACAGCTCCAGGCCGGAGCACACCACGTCGGCGTTGGTCATGTGGCAGTGGTCGAAAGCACAGCCCTGGTAGTAAGGCCTCGGGGGGATCACGGCGTGGCACGGCTGGAAGACGCTGCGGCCAAGGACACGCGGTCATGGGGCAGCCCTGCCTCCGGCCGCCAGGCTCAGGCTTCCCCAGGAGACAGCCCGGGAGTGGGGGCGGCTGAGCCCCTCGAGTGCCTGGTGCCCCCAGTTCCTGTGGCCACAGCACGGCCATTTCTTTCTGCAAATCCCCCACTGGGCTCCCCCTCGCCCTGCAAACCTGGGTGATGCCGTATGCACAGGTCCACCGTGAGCTGGCCGCCAGAGCTCAGAGGCGCCCGCCCGCCCTGCCCAGCCCTGCGCCTGGCATGCCAGCAGCAGTAGCACCCGTGGGCGGGCCAAGAGACAGCTCTGCTCTCCAGGGGTGCCCGCCTCCCCGGGAGCCCGCAGGCCCATCTCTCCCCACCAGCACCGACGGTGTGGTCAGCCGAACAGCCCCCCGCCCCCCACAACCCCTCCCAGAATCTCACTCGCTCAGAATCAGCTCGCAGATTGGCGAGGGCGGGCACGGGGCAGGCGAGGTCGTGGGCCGCACCTTAGGGCGTGTCTGGGGAGGCCCGTGGCAGGACGGCTGGTCGGGGTTTGTCACCTTCCAGTACCCGGACATGTCCGAGCAGGAGGTCACCACCGCCCCGCCAGGGAGGCGGCACTCGTCCTTGGGGTCATTGGTGCAGGTGCCTGGGGGAGAGGGCGGGACGGAGTCAGGCAGCCACGCCCACCTTCCCGGGCCAGTGTCCTCAAGCTGCACCAGTGGGTCCCCGACCACCCTGTGTTTCCCTCACCCCGGGAAGCTGGACCCTGGACAGCGCCCAGGAGGAGGGACAGGTGGGGCCTAGGGGGGGTGGTGTCCCCGCAGGCTCAGCGCTCAGGGCGGCTGCACCCTGCCGAGTACCCGGCCCCTCCCAGGGACTCACTGGCAGGGAGCGTCCGCCCAATGGACACTGTCAGCAGCATTTAATGACCAGGGACGCGGCTGGCGTCCCCGGAGCCGGGCAGGGGTGGGGGAGGGGGGCTCACCGCACTGCCCCTCCGTGTTGTTGGCGAACTTGCTGAAGGGCACCTCCACCGAGAAGATGAGGCCCGTGAACATGACCTGGACGCCGATCTCGGGGATGCTCACGTACATCCTGATGCCGACTTGGGAGATGACGATGCCGCCTTTCCGGAAGCCCGGGCTGACCACCTTGTTGTTGAAGATGATCTAGATCCGGCGACACGCAACACGCAACACCCGGAGGGGAACCGGACAGGCCGTCAGCCTCCGCCCCGCCCACCCGAGCGCCCCTGCACCAAATGCACCGGTAAGCCCCGCCCACCCCGTGTGAGGCCCCACCTCATTGGTCATCACCCAGTGCCCCGCCCACCCTGTGCATGGCCCCACCTCATTGGTCATCACCCAGCGCCCCGCCCACCCTGTGCATGGCACCCAGCGCCCCGCCCACCCAAGTGCTGAGCACCAAATGCACCCTGTAAGCCCCGCCCACCCCACGTGTGGCCCCACCTCATTGGTCATCACCCCGCGGACCGGCTTGCGGGTGAGCACGACGCGCTCCTGCCCATACTCCACGATGATGGACTGCGGGCAGGACAGCCCGTCCTCGGAGTCGCAGAAGTAGTTGTCGATGAGCACGCGGAAGTGGCCGTACACGGGCACGATCTGCTGCACCAGCACGTAGGTGCAGTTGTCCAGGAACGTGTAGTAGGTGCCGTCAAAGGTGATGTAGTGGGGGTCGCCCCAGCCGCTGCACACACCTGCGGGCGCCAGCAGGGCGTCAGCGGGGCCAGCGGCCGCCCCGGCCGCGCAGGGCCCTCCCCAAGAACACATCTGCCCCGGGCACCAGCGGGAGCCGCGAGGCCGGGCTCTGAGCCGCCCGGGAGGTGCTGGAGGAGGCCTGAGTGGGGCCTGGGGCAGCTCTGCCCTGGACACCCTGGTGGAGCGGCCCGCCCCGCCACTGCCTACTGTTGGGAAGCCCTTCCCGGTGTCGCACCCGAGTCCCTGCCCGACCGCCCGGCGGTCTCCCTGGCTCACACTGGCATTGGTAGTGCAGGCAGCAGCCATCCTGGTCGGGCACCTTCAGGGCAGGGTAGCCGTTGGCGCAGGTCGGCTCGGGCACATGCGGGCACGGACGCGGCCCCAGGGTGATGACGTTGTTGCCCTCACAGGTGGCCTGGGAGCAGTTAGGCATGGGCCAGGTCTGTCCTTTCTGCGGGAGCAAAGACAGCTGCAGGCGCCCGCCCAGCCGCCCCTCCGCGCCCAGGGAACGGGTGGGGACCGTGCTGTTGGGTCCAGCACTGGCCAGGCCTCCCGCCCCCATCCCACTGAGTGCCGACTGCCGGGCTGGCCAGGAGGGTCCCCGATAAGAGGGTGTGAGGGTTGCCGCCTCCCTCTCCTTCCATTTCTACCCTGTTCCCCACACGTGGGTTTTCCAGGCTCCACTCCTGGTCCTCTGCCCTGACCCCACACACCCTCCCTCACTGTCGGGCCCTGCCCAGAGCACCAGCCACCCGCTCCGGCCCCCTTCTCCCGGCCACAGCCCCGCGCTCAGCTGCAAAGCCCAGTCATCACCCACTGAAGCCAGGGCCCAATTGGAAGGGGGCTGGGGTCCCACACCAGCCCAGAGCCCCCAGGAAAGGCGGGAAGGGTAGGTTACCGTTCTTGGGGGGACAGCATTGGGACAGCCTTGCGTAGTGACAGTCACAGGGGCCGAAGTGGAAGAGCCAGGTGGGAGGGTCGCCGGGGCGGTAGGTGGCATGCTGGTGGGACAGGCGTGGTCCATCTGCCGCACCACATGGCAGTCCAGGCTGCACACGGAATAGTAGCAGTGGCCGGCGAGGTCTGCCTCCTGGTATATGATGGACCCTGCAGACAAAGGGACGGCCGTCAGCGGTGTCGGGGAGGGCAGGGCGGGGCCGACCGCCCACGTGGTCCACCCCAGGGCTGATCTGGTCAGCGGCCTTCCGACCAGATGTCCGTGGATAAAGGCTCGAAGGCGGCCCAGGTGAAGCTGTGATCACAGCGCCTGTTTGTGGGTCACACTGTGGCTGTGTGAGGAAAGGGGACCCGTGACGGGGCAGCACAGCCAGGCAGCCGTCACCTACCTGCGGGGTAGAGCTTGTTGGACACGCTGCAGTAGCACGTCTGGACTGACGGTGCTGCCGAGCTGAGGGCGGTCACCGTAGGAACCATGGAGGAGGGCTCTGTGGTGGGCAGGGACTTGGTAGAAGTCACATAAGGGGTCACGGAAGTCAGAGGGCAGCCTGGTTGGGGCTCACAGCACAGCACGCGGACCTCGTAGTTGAGACACATCTTGAACCTGCCCGTCTGGTCTCGGTTGTGGCACACCAGGCCCACGTCGGGGCTGCACTGCACCACCTGGCCCAGCCGGTCGATGCTGACCTCGGGGTGACTCTCGGCTCGGCACTCCAGGTGGGTGATGTACTCGGGCCGGCGGCAGATCTTCTGTCCACTGTGGATGATGTTGCTGTAGGTTTCCAGGTCTCCTCCGTGGGGCCCCGGGGACGGGAAGTCCACGTCGAACCACTTGGTCCATGTGCACTGTGGCTGGCAGCGGGTGGTCCCCGATGTGGGGTGGGTCGTCTGAGGTGCAGGCACAGGGGTTGTGGTGGTTATGGGAGCTGAGGTGGTGCTGGTTTCCGGCACAGGGGTACTGGTTTCTGGCACAGAGGTGGTGCTGGTTTCCCGCACAGGGGTGCTGGTTTTTGGCACAGAGGTGGTGCTGGTTTCTGGTACGGGGGTGGTGCTGGTTTCTGGCACTGGGGTGGTGCTGGTTTCCGGCACAGATGTGGTGCTGGTTTCCGGCACAGAAGTTGTCCTGGAAGTGGCCATGTGGGAGGTTGTCTCAGTAGGACTGGTGATGCTCACAGTTGGGGTGCTGGGTGTGGTGATTGGTTCGAAGGTAGGGCAGCCTGGTTGGGGCTCACAGCACAGCACGCGGACCTCGTAGTTGAGGCACATCTTGAACCTGCCCGTCTGGTCTCGGTTGTGGCACACCAGGCCCACGTCGGGGCTGCACTGCACCACCTGGCCCAGCCGGTCGATGCTGACCTCGGGGTGACTCTCGGCTCGGCACTCCAGGTGGGTGATGTACTCGGGCCGGCGGCAGATCTTCTGTCCACTGTGGATGATGTTGCTGTAGGTTTCCAGGTCTCCTCCGTGGGGCCCCGGGGACGGGAAGTCCACGTCGAACCACTTGGTCCATGTGCACTGTGGCTGGCAGCGGGTGGTCCCCGATGTGGGGTGGGTCGTCTGAGGTGCAGGCACAGGGGTTGTGGTGGTTATGGGAGCTGAGGTGGTGCTGGTTTCCGGCACAGGGGTACTGGTTTCTGGCACAGAGGTGGTGCTGGTTTCCCGCACAGGGGTGCTGGTTTTTGGCACAGAGGTGGTGCTGGTTTCTGGTACGGGGGTGGTGCTGGTTTCTGGCCCGGGGGTGGTGCTGGTTTCCGGCACAGAAGTGGTGCTGGTTTCCGGCACAGAAGTTGTCCTGGAAGTGGCCATGTGGGAGGTTGTCTCAGTAGGACTGGTGATGCTCACAGTTGGGGTGCTGGGTGTGGTGATTGGTTCGAAGGTAGGGCAGCCTGGTTGGGGCTCACAGCACAGCACGCGGACCTCGTAGTTGAGGCACATCTTGAACCTGCCCGTCTGGTCTCGGTTGTGGCACACCAGGCCCACGTCGGGGCTGCACTGCACCACCTGGCCCAGCCGGTCGATGCTGACCTCGGGGTGACTCTCGGCTCGGCACTCCAGGTGGGTGATGTACTCGGGCCGGCGGCAGATCTTCTGTCCACTGTGGATGATGTTGCTGTAGGTTTCCAGGTCTCCTCCGTGGGGCCCGGGGGACGGGAAGTCCACGTCGAACCACTTGGTCCACGTGCACTGTGGCTGGCAGCTGGTGGTCCCCGATGTGGGGTGGGTCGTCTGAGGTGCAGGCACAGGGGTTGTGGTGGTTATGGGAGCTGAGGTGGTGCTGGTTTCCGGCACAGGGGTACTGGTTTCTGGCACAGAGGTGGTGCTGGTTTCCCGCACAGGGGTGCTGGTTTTTGGCACAGAGGTGGTGCTGGTTTCTGGTACGGGGGTGGTGCTGGTTTCCGGCACGGGGGTGGTGCTGGTTTCCGGCACAGAAGTTGTCCTGGAAGTGGCCATGTGGGAGGTTGTCTCAGTAGGACTGGTGATGCTCACAGTTGGGGTGCTGGGTGTGGTGATTGGTTCGAAGGTAGGGCAGCCTGGTTGGGGCTCACAGCACAGCACGCGGACCTCGTAGTTGAGGCACATCTTGAACCTGCCCGTCTGGTCTCGGTTGTGGCACACCAGGCCCACGTCGGGGCTGCACTGCACCACCTGGCCCAGCCGGTCGATGCTGACCTCGGGGTGACTCTCGGCTCGGCACTCCAGGTGGGTGATGTACTCGGGCCGGCGGCAGATCTTCTGTCCACTGTGGATGATGTTGCTGTAGGTTTCCAGGTCTCCTCCGTGGGGCCCGGGGGACGGGAAGTCCACGTCGAACCACTTGGTCCACGTGCACTGTGGCTGGCAGCGGGTGGTCCCCGATGTGGGGTGGGTCGTCTGAGGTGCAGGCACAGGGGTTGTGGTGGTTATGGGAGCTGAGGTGGTGCTGGTTTCTGGCACGGGGGTGGTGCTGGTTTCTGGCACAGAAGTTGTCCTGGAAGTGGCCATGTGGGAGGTTGTCTCAGTAGGACTGGTGATGCTCACAGTTAGGGTGCTGGGTGTGGTGATTGGTTCGAAGGTAGGGCAGCCTGGTTGGGGCTCACAGCACAGCACGCGGACCTCGTAGTTGAGGCACATCTTGAACCTGCCCGTCTGGTCTCGGTTGTGGCACACCAGGCCCACGTCGGGGCTGCACTGCACCACCTGGCCCAGCCGGTCGATGCTGACCTCGGGGTGGCTCTCGGCTCGGCACTCCAGGTGGGTGATGTACTCGGGCCGGCGGCAGATCTTCTGTCCACTGTGGATGATGTTGCTGTAGGTTTCCAGGTCTCCTCCGTGGGGCCCCGGATACGGGAAGTCCACGTCGAACCATTTGGTCCACGTGCACTGTGGCTGGCAGGGGGTGGTCCCAGGTGGTATGACTGTGTGTGTGCTGAGTATGGTTTTGGTGGCCGGGGGCACATGGATCGAGCTGGCCGTCCAGCGCTGTGTGGAGGTCCAGGGGGGCTGGGTTTTGGCTGTGTCCTGTGGGGTCGAGCGCATGGCCCTCGATGTCCCCGGTGGGGTGGTCCTCTCTGTGCACACGTCCACCCACTCGCAGCACTGGATCCGGATTTGGTAGTTGTAGCAGATGGGGGGCAGCTGGTCCTTGTTGAGGCACAGCAGGCCCACGCTGTCGCTGCAGACCACGGTCTGCCCCAGCTCCGCCAGCGGGGTGTCCGGGAAGCGCTCAGCCCTGCACTGCACCTGGCTGGGCCGCTCGCAGAACGCATACCCTTTGGATCGCAAATTCTGGAACGTGTCAAAATCTCCACTGTTGATCCCAGCCTCGGGGTAGCTGCCGTCCAGCCACTTGGTCCAGCTGCAGTACTTCTGCAGGCAGGAGATGATGCTGGGCTGAGAGGTGGTGGGCACACCCGGGACTTCGGAGGGCCCTGGGGCTGAGGTCGCCACGGAGGCTGTGGTGGAAGCAGTGGTTGAAACTGGCATTGGGCTGGGAGCTGAGCCAGTTGTTTTCACAGGTGAGGTGGTGACTGGGGCAGGTGTGGTGGTGGCTGGGGCAGGGGTAGAGGTGCGAGTGGTGGTGGCTGGGACAGATGTGGTGGTGGCTGGGACAGATGTGGTGGTGGCTGGGGCAGGAGTGGTGGTGCCTGGGGCAGGTGTAGAGGTGCGAGTGGTGGTGGCTGGGGCAGGAGTGGTGGTGGCTGGGGCAGGTGTGGTGGTGGCTGGGGCAGGAGTGGTGGTGGCTGGGACAGGTGTGGTGGTGGCTGGGGCAGGAGTGGTGGTGGCTGGGACAGGTGTGGTGGTGGCTGGGGCAGGAGTGGTGGTGGCTGGGACAGGAGTGGTGGTGGCTGGGGCAGGAGTGGTGGTGGCTGGGACAGGTGTGGTGGTGGCTGGGGCAGGAGTGGTGGTGGCTGGGGCAGGTGTGGTGGTGGCTGGGGCAGGTGAGGTGCTGGCTGGGGCAGGTGTAGAGGTGCGAGTGGTGGTGGCTGGGGCAGGTGAGGTGGTGGCTGGGGCAGGTGAGGTGCTGGCTGGGGCAGGTGAGGTGGTGGCTGGGGCAGGTAAGGTGGTGCCTGGGGCAGGTGTGCAGGTTCTTGGGGCAGGTGTGGTGGTGGTGACAGGGGCTGTCAGCACGGATATGTTGGTTGTGCTGTAGGTGGCAGGGCCCCGGGAGGTGGGGCAGGCCCGGGGGGAGCAGCACAGGACCCTGATCTGGTAGTTGAAGCAGAGCCCTGAGACCTGGTCCCTGTTGTAACAGGTCAGCCCTGCGGTCGGGCTGCACTGCACATGCTGCCCCAGGACCTGGAACGGCACGTCGGGGGCGTGCTCGGCCTGGCACTCCACCGCCCTCGGGGCCTGGCAGACCCGGTACCCGTGGGCACGGAGGTTGTCCAGCGTGTCGAAGTCACCGCTGTCGAGGCCGCGTCCCGGGCGGCTGACGTCCAGCCATGCTGACCACTGGCAGTCCTCCCCACAGGCGGGGCTGGAGGCGACGGAGGCCGTTGAAGGCCGCGGCCTGGGGGTGCTGGCGGGGGCCGGGCTGGTGGCAGGGCTGGGGCGCGGGCCGGGCGGGCCTGTGGAGCTCACGGCTGCGGGAAGGAGGGACAGCAGAGGGCCCAGCGTCAGGGACCAGCACGCACTCGGCCCCCGCCCTGACGCGTCCTTGCCCCTGCCTGTCAGCGGCCTGTCTGTCCACGATGGGCACCCGGTCCCCGAGGCGCGCCGCACGTGCGCGGTGGCGTGCGCAGCACTGAATGAACAGGCAACTGACCTCCATGATGGGAAGCCCGCCCCCAGGCTCGCCCTGAATGGACCCTGGACACGGGGACCCAAAAGCCAGAGTTCTGGGGACTCCTCACTCTTGGGGGGATCTCTGATGAGGCGCTAGGATGCCCCCAGAAGCAGGTGAGGACCACGGTGTGCGGGGAGCGGCGGCTGTGATGGGGCAGGACGGGGGGCATCCTCCTCTTGGCCAGCCTGGGAGCCTGCACTGGCAGCGCTGCCCTGGGCACCAGTCCCCCGGGAGGCCCAGGGAGGCCGACCTCCACACAGGTGACCGCCCTCTGCCCGCTCTAGTCCCTCCTCATCGAGTCTCAGGGCCAGGCTGCCCTGCATGGTCCTGGCACAGCTGCCTACCGCTGGGGGGCGAGGAGGAGGAGGAGGAGGAGGAGGAGGAGGAGGAGGAGGAGGAGGAGGCTGCCTACCGCTGGGGGGCGTAGAGGAGGAGAAGGAGAAGGTGGTGGGGGGGGCGGGGGAGCTGGAGCTGCAGGCGTGGACGGTCCGCTCGATGGTGCCATTGGGCCCACAGCGGGCGGAGATGCAGCCGCCGGTGCCATCCGTCGTGTGGTAGATGACGTCTCCCGGGCGGAAGCGCCGCCCGTCATAGCTGCAGACACAGGCTGTGGGAGCAGAGCCCCAGGCGGGTCAGGGGCTGAGGTGCAGGAGGACCCCAGACCCCGGCCCTGAGGAAGGCCCCCTGCTCACCCTTGGCATCGTAGGCGCACCGCACGCCATTCTCTGTGCAAACGCTGGTGGCAGAGGAAAGAGGTGAGGCTGGGGGGTAGATCGTCCCAGCTGGGGGTGGGGGGGGGGGTGGGGGGGCAGGAGCAGCCCCTTGGGGTGCCCGTGGGAGCCTGGGGTCACCCTCCCAGGGAGGCCCCTCCAATCAATGGCCCGTGAGCCCCACTGACTTCCTCCCCAGGTTGTCTGTCCTGGGTCCCTGGGTGGCCTCAGGCTCCGCCCCCAGCCCCATCCCTTCACCCACTTCCCTTCACCTTCCAGGCCCCTCCCTGCCCTGCAGCAGGAGGCTCTGTGACCCAGGGAAACCCAGGCCACCAGGACCCCTCCCCTTGGGCCCTCTGGGAGGCGGCCTGTGGGGGCCTCGTCCTGAGGGTGGGGGCCGGGGGAATGCTCATGGGGCCACTCACCAGGAGTGGCAGTTCTCGTCCGAGGGCACGACCGCACCTGGCCGGTACGACTTGCCCTGGACTTGGCAGGGTGGCGGTGGGGGCGGGGTCGGGCACGTGGCCACACACTGCATGGCGTCCTCGTCAAAGATGGGAGCCTCCGGCGGGCATTTGGGGTAGCAGCCTGGGGGCCAGGGAGACTGAGTTCCAGTGCACGGCTGCCCGCCGCCTCGCCCCCATGGCCTCAGCGCTGTCCCCAGGCCTGGGCCTTGCCCGCAGCACCACAGGGGGTACCAGGCTGCACCCACAAAGGCATCACGAGGGGTCAGGGAGAGTCCGGCGGTTCAGGGTGCCAGGCCCCCCAGGACAGCCCGCCCCGGCCAGCAGCCCAGCCCACCTTCCAGGCTGTGCGTGTCGTGCAGGCACTGGCCACGGGGGTTCCGGCAGGTCCGCAGGCAGGGCGCCCCACAGGGCTGGTAGTGCCACTCGCACTGGCCCTCGGGGTTGTAGTAGTCGCAGAACAGGGCTGTGGGCAGGGACACGCTCAGCCTGAGCCGGCCTCCCACCAGCCCAGGGGGCAGCGCCCGCAGAGGGACAGCTGGGGCCGCCCGCTGGCCCAGCCGGCACCCTGCACCCCCATTTTGAGCAAGTCCCATCACTGTTCTGGACTTTTCCCTCCCGTGACTCTCGGACGTGGCCTCGGAGGGCGTGGCCTAGACTCCTGTGGCTCAAATGGGCAGTGGGGAGGGTGGCCGCTAGGGCCCCCTGCCTCTCAGAGGCACCCCCTTGGGGTGGGGGACTCGCTCACAGCAGCTCCCCAGCTATGTCGCCCTCTGGACAAACTGTCTGTGCTGGAAAGAGGTGGGGCTGGGGGGCTCTGCTACCTCTCAGTTCCAGAAGATTCTACCACAGCTGCCTCTCTCCATCAGCAACATACACACCCATTTCCCTTCCAGCTCACCCCACCCCTCCCAGGGGTGAGCGCGCAAACTCACGGCAGATGTCCGGGGTGCGCCAGGCCACGCACACGCCCGCGTCGTGGCAGGCCTGGGCGTAGGCGGCCACGGCGGTGCAGAAACACTCGCAGTCGCCCCCCGAGTCACAGGCGCACGCGTCGCTCACGCAGGCCTCGTAGTACGGGGCTGGCTCCACCTGTGGGGGACAGGCCTCAGATTCCGGGGACGCCCCAGGGTGCTGGCGGGTTCAGGCCTGCACTGTGGAGCTCAGGCACAGCAAATGCAGGCTCCCCACCAGGTGGCCCGGCCCCAGCTAGGGGATGCCCCCCCCACCTCCCAGGCGCCCGGAGGGAGGAAGGGCCGCGTACGTGGGCGTGGCAGGCCTGGAAGGTGGCGCTGTTGATGAGGCTGCACTGCCGCTGCGCCCAGGACTTGCGGTAGGGGTTGGCGGTGCAGGGGTCCCGGGGGGCCGGGGCGTCGGGGCAGGTGGGGGAGAATTTCCAGCTGTTGCCGAACTCCAGAGCGTCGCCCACCACGGACTGGCTGCGCGTGGTGAAGTCGTTGACGGCGTTGTCGTCGAAGTTCCCGCACAGCCCGCAGACCCGCCCCTGCAGAGGCAGAGAGTGGGGGCCTCAGGGCAAGCGCAGGGGGAGCCGGAGCCCCTGCCCCGCCCCGGACCCAGGAGAGGAGGGGCGCCTGAGGCTGACGGCCCTCCCCGGGGACAGGGGTGAGGGCTAGATGGTGTCCCCCTAAGACAGGCTCAGGCCCCCGGGTGTGTCCTTGTGTGGAAACACGGTCTGTGCAGGCGGGAGGCAGTGAACATGAGAGCATGCTGGGGGGAGGGGGGAGCGGGACGGGCGTCCTCGGACGAGGGGAGTGAGCAGTCAGACAACGCACAGCGGGGAGGCTTGTGGTCTCGGAGGCACAGGTGGGGTGATGTGGCCACAAGCCCGGAGCCTTCGGAGGGACCAGCCCTGCGACCCCTGCGACCCCTGCTACCCCTGTGACCCCTGGACGGGACCTCTGGCTCCAGACTGGTGCTCTGACTTGTCCCGCAGCCACAGGACCTGCCACCCACAGCTCAGGGTCTCCCACCCCACCTCCCAGGAGGCCAGCCCAGGCCCACACCCGCCTCTCTTCTGTCTGTCTTTCTCCCCCACCCCACACCCCCTGCTTCCCCGTGGGTCTGGGGCAAGGGGGTGGCAGGTGGGCGGAGCCTCACCTTGAACTCGGGGCTGAGTCTGAGGAAGATGCTGGTCTTCTTGTCCCACAGCAGCACCAGGCCGGCCTCGGTGTCCACCACCAGGTAGATGCCCACCTGGCGGATGGAGTAGGGCGCCTCCTGCCCCGGGCCCTTCTCGATCACCTCCACTTGCCCCTCGCTCAGCTTCAGCTCGTAGCTCTGCGCAGGGAGGGGTCACTCAGGGGCTGGCGGGGACCCCAGGCCACCTCCCGGGAGGGTCCACCGGCCCGTGGTGCCATCCTGGCTCGGCCGTGGCGTGGGGCCTCCTCGGGGTTCCTGGAGCCCCCACGGGTGCCCTGGCCCTGCCCGGCGCCCCGCTCACCCCCAGGAAGATCTTGATGGCCTTGGAGCAGGTGGTGCCCGTGGTGCCGCAGGGGACGTTCTCCGTGACCACGCGGAAGGCATCCTGGGCGCTGCCGTTCCCGCCACAGTGGTCCTGCGGGGACAAGGAGGGTCCGCTCACGGCTCACGCGCCGGGGGAGGTGGGGCCAGCCCTCGGGCCAGAGTCTGGGGCCTCTGGGAGGGCGGCCGCCGTACCTGCAGCAGCGTGTACTCGCAGGCCCCGTCAAAGCTGTAGCGCTGCCCGTCGAAGGTGAGGTAGTGGCCGTCGCCGTACACGGCGCAGGTGCCCAGGCAGGGCTGGTCCGTGCACTGCCACTTCCAGCTCTTGCAGGTGCTGGGGGAGGGGCGGGGTGGGGTGGTCAGGCCCCAGGCGGGCTGGCTGGGGGGGCAGCTCCAGCCCGAGGCCTCGCACCCCCTGCCGGCCCCCCCCCACGCCCCGGCCGCACATACCAGGTGTTGCAGCCCACGCGGATGGTCTGGCCGGCGGGGTAGCTGGCCTCGTTGTGCATGCAGGGGCAGGCGTCCGGCGCCACGCAGCCGCCCTCGCCGTCAGCCACCAGCCCCGCGGGGCACACGCAGCCGGGCACGCACTGGGGGCTGTACTGTGGGCGGGGCAGACACACTCAGTGCCCAGGGACCGGGCAGACACTCGTCCCGAGGGCAGAGGGTCCCCCGAGGCCCGCACACTTCCAGCGGTCTCCTCCTGGGACCAGCCTGGGCGGGGGTCTCCACAGGGGGCCCCCAGGGCCCAGCAGGTGTGGGGTCACTGTGGTCCCGGGCGTGGGGGTCACGGTCACTCACACAGTCCATGTCCAGGGTGTGGCAGCTCTTCTGGCAGCCGGCGCCCGCGGCCCCCGGCGTGGCGTTGCGGCAGTCCACGTACACCATGGGGGGGGCACAGACTGCGCGGGAGGGAGGGGCGCTCAGAGGACCCGCCCACAGCGCCCCCACCCGTAATTCCCTCCAACCTAGGCTGTGCTGTGCGCATGTGTGGATATGTGTTTGTGCCCGCGTGTGTGTGTGTGTGCCCCCTGACACCCCACTCTGAGCCCCGAGGGCTGGTGGCCCCGACGCTGACCGGTACCCACCCGCAGGCGTGCGGGGTGTTTAACCCTGAAGTTTCACGGGAAGATAACCAAGGTCCTGTCCCCCCTCCCCCCTCTCCCTCCTCCCCCCTCTCCCTCCTGCCTCCTCTCCCTCCTGCCCCCTCTCCCTCTCCCCTCTCCCTTCTCCCTCCTCCCCTCTCCCCCTCCTGCCCCTCTCCCTCCCCCCTCCCCCCTCTCCCTCCCCCCCTCTCCCTCCTTCCCTCACCTGGGTCGGGGGTGTTGCCTCCGATGCAGGTCAGTGTGCCCTGCGTGCAGGTGCTGAGAGGAGAGGGCGGTCAGGGGTCCGCCCCGCCCCTCCTGCCCCTCCCCCGCCCTCCTGCCCACCCCCTCTCCTCCTGCCCCCTCCTACCCTGCAGGGCCCTTACCAGACAGCCCCCTGCTCGTGCAGAGACTCCCCGTTGGGGATCACCGCGTCCCCGTGGTAGCAGGGACAGCTGGCGGCCGGCACACACTTGCCCGCGTCGTCCAGGAAGGTGCCGTCGGGGCAGGTGCAGCCGTCCACGGGCACGAAGCTGATGGCGCAGGTGGGGTCCTCGCGGCTCAGGGCGCGGCAGGTGGGCTGGCAGGTGCTGACGTGGTAGCGGTAGGTCATGGACGGCGGGCAGGTGTCCACGGGCGCTGCTGCAGGTGCCAGGGCGGGGGGGGGCACTCAGCACGCCGCCCGCCGCCCCAGGCCCCGCTCCCGGCCCCACCGGGCCGCCCTCCTGCGCCGGGACCCACGGAGCCCGACTCCAGCCCCAGCCCGGGCGCCACCGCCCACTCACCGCAGACGCCGGCCCTCCAGCCGCCCAGCAGCACGCCCCGCGCGGCGCAGGCGCGGACGTAGGCGGACAGCGCGGCGCACAGGCAGTCCTCGCTCTTCTCGCAGTTGCACGTGTCGAACAGGCAGTTCTGGGCGCGGAGCGTGGGGCGTCAGGGACCCGGCCCGCACCCCGGAGCCTGCCCCGCACCCCGCCTGCTCCCGGACCGCCCCCCTCCCCCCAGCAGAACTGCAGAGACCTGGGCCCGTCCCTGTGACCACGCCCAGCCCTGCTGGCGGCCGGGACTCTGGGGCAGGTTCCCAGCGTGGGGCGCAGCCCGCAGGGGGGCAATTAGCCGTTAAAGGGGGAAGTTCCAGAATGAGTTATTCAGTGAGCTTTTTGCATTTCTTCTGGTCCTAGGGGCCTCATATATAGAATATAAATAGATATTGTGACATATTTGTTCTCTATTATATGTTTCGAAACTTTGCTGTTTTTCCTATCCCTCCATATTATTATTATTTTTTAACAGTTTCTTAGTGATTTCTTCCCCAGGACTCCCACTGTCCTTCCGTTCTTTGATGTTTCTCCTTCGTGGACGCCATGTTCTCGGGAAGCTGGTTTGGGCCCAGTTCATGGCCTTTCGGGCTTCCTCCACGTGAGCAGGGGTTCGCTTTTTGAATAGTAAGAATTATATGTCGGGGGGCGGGGCATCGGGGTTTTAGAGACGCCTGGGTGGGCGTGGCCAAGAAAAGGTGGGGACCACTGGGCTAGAGCATCCGGGCGCCCCGCCCCATCCTCTGCCGCGGGGGGCGGAGCAGGGCTGGAGGCTCCCGACACCCGGGAGACCGGAGACCGTGTGCGCGACTGACTGACTGAATGGGGACTGGTCGGCCCAGACCCCGCTGCACTGCCCGGGACCACCCCGGGCGGCGGGCGGGCGGCTCACCGAGTAGTGGGGGCCGGGGCTCACGGCGGCGTGGCACGGAGCGAAGGGGCCCTGCGGGTCGGTCAGCAGCGAGCACCAATGCTGAGCGTACTTCTCTGTGGGCAGAGGAGGGAGGGGGTCGCGGGCAGCCGGGGCGCCAGGCTTCTACCCGAATTCCCGCCGTGCTGGGCGAGCGCCCCCGGACTCCCGGGCGCCCCCCTGCCTGGGTCCGCAGCCCCGGCGCTTGTTCCTTTTCTCCGGGGCGCACGCTCATCCACCTTCACCGCCAAACGCCCCTGCCCCCAGCCCCGTGGGCAGCCGGAGCGCCCCTGCCCCCCCCTGCCCCCCCCAGCCTCGTGGGCAGCCGGAGCCCCCCTGCCCCCCCCCGTGGGCAGCCGGAGCGCCCCTGCACCTTCGCCCCCGTGGGCAGCCGGAGCGCCCCTGCACCACGCCCCCATGGGCAGCCGGAGCGCCCCTGCACCCCCCCCCCCCCCCGTGGGCAGCCGGAGCGCCCCTGCACCACGCCCCCGTGGGCAGCCGGAGCGCGGCCGGAGCCGGCGGGCGCGGGTGCGAGCACGTACCGTTCTCCACGCTCAGGGCGCAGGGGTCCTCCAAGCTGTTCCTGACGTTGGGGCAGGCGGCCTGGGTCTTCCAGGTGTTGGCGAAGGCGGCGGCCGTGCCCTCCACCACGCCGCTCAGGGCGCGGAAGTCGTCCGCCTGGTTCTGGTTGAAGTTCCCGCAGAGGCCTGGGAGGGAGGGGGGGCGGGCGCGTGAGACGGGAACAGCCGAGGGGCGGGGCGGCCCGGGGGCACCGGCGGGCAGGCGGGCGGGCGGGCGGCGCTCTTACCGCAGGTCTGGCCGCGGAGCGCGGGCGCCGCCCTCAGGAACACCTGCATGGTGGGCACCAGCTGCACCTCCACCTGCAGCCCCAGGTGCGTCTGCGCCACGATGAAGAAGGTGGACGGTCTGAAGAGCGTGACGGCGGCTGCGGACATAGGGCCGGGCTCAGGGGGGTCCCGGGGCGGGGCTCAGGGGGTCCCGGGGCCGGGGCGGGGCGGGGCCTCACCTGCCGAGATGGGCAGCTGGGTGACGAGCTGGTTCACTAGCACCTCCCCGCTGGCCTTGACCTCCACGACCTGGGAGCAGCGGGCGCGTTTGCAATTGGGGGGGGGGGCTCTGCGGGGCCCCAGCCGCCCCCCGAGGCTGTGAAATGTGCCTGAGGCCTCTGGCCCGACCGGAGCTGATGCCCCGTGTCCCCCGGGCCGTGCTCACCCCAAGTTTTCTACAGGGACCGAGGAGGCGCTTTTGTAATCACATAAAACCCGAGGTGCTTTTATCCACAGAGAAGCCACCACCCTTCGTGGGTGGTTGGAGCAGCCACCCCACCGCGCTGCCCTCGGGGATGGACGCAGTGGCCGGGGCGGGAGGTCCTGGGGCCAGGCCAGGCGCTCGCTGCCCATGCCAGGGCCAGGGCGGGGGCAGTGTCCCCCCCATGAGGCCCGCCCCTCCCCGGCCGGGCTCTGCACTCACCGTCTGCCCCCCGTCCAGGCTCAGCGTCAGGCTCCGCAGGCAGGTCTCGCTGTCCGTCAGGCCGCACCTGCGCAGCTCGGCCAGCACGGTGAAGGCGCTGCTGTTGCAGGGCTGCGGACACCAGACACCGGGCCTCAGGCTCTGCCCCGCCGCCTCCCCTTCCCGCCCACGCCGAACCCCAGGACGCCCAGGGCCCAGGGGGTGGCCCCACAGCCGACAGCAGTCCCGCGAGGACCCGCCGCACCTTGGCCAGCACGTAGCTGCAGTCCCCGTGCACCGTGTATGGCCTCTCGTCGAAGGTGGAGAAGTGGGCACCTCCCAGCACCGCGCAAGTGCCGGGGCACGGAAGCTCCCGGCAGCTCCACCGGCCCCCGGAGCAGGTGCTGAGGCAGAGACAGGCCTTGGGTGCCGCCCCGCGTTCTCCCCAGCCCCCCGACCCCCCGCAGACCGCCGAGTGGGAGAGGACGGAATGTCGGGCAGCAGCCCCAGGAGGGGCCATCGCAGGGCGGGGGGTGGGGGGGCCACATGGGGGGAGGGACGGGGTCCTACCAGTTGGTGCAGTCTGTGGAGTAGGTGGCTCCCGGGGCGTAGGTGGCCCCGTTGTGCACACAGGGACACTGGGACACAGGGATGCAGCCGGTCTGGCCGATGTCATCGAGCACCGTCCCTGGGGAAGCGGGCAGGCTGTGTGGCAGGTGCGAGGTGGGGGGGAGGCTTGTCCACGCGTGAGCGTGTGGAGGGGGTGGGCCCTCTGCTCTGGTGGCCCTGTGCCTCGGCCCCTCCGTCCCAGGGCTCAGCGGCCACGGCCGGGTCGGGGCCTTCCGGCAGCGGGATGCAGGAGGCACCGTGTGGTCCTGGGGGAGGGGAGTGCGGGGGAGGGGGGCTCACCCTCGGGGCAGAAGCAGCCAGCCACGCAGTGGTCCTCGCAGAGCTGGGAGTGCTCCAGGTTGGAGCAGGTGTCGGTGCAGGGCGAGCCGCACTCCCGGTACTGCATGTTGTGGGGGCAGGTCTGGGCTGCGGGGAGGAGGCGGGCCTCGTCACACCCCGCCCAGCGCGGGGCCCAAGGCAGGGCAGGGGTGGGGGGCGGGGGGGGGGGCGGGCAGGGCAGCGTGACACTCACGGCAGAGGCCGGGGCCCCGCCAGTCCAGGGGCCGCCCGCCGGCGTGGGCGCACTGGCGGGAGTACTCGGCCAGCGTGGGGCAGGCGCAGCTGGCCAGGTCGGCGTGCTCGCACAGGCACAGGTCCTGCCAGCAGGCGCGCACGTAGCTGCCGGCGTCCACCAGGGCGTTGCAGCCCAGGAACCGCTCGCCCAGCAGCAGCTCCTCGCAGAGGCCCTGGGGCAGAGCGGGCATCTGAGTCCGGGCTCGGGGCCTGGGTCCCCGGTCCCTCACCCCAGCCAGTGACCCCGGCCCGGCCCAGCCCAGCCACCGGGGCTCACCGAACTGATGGAGCAGTTCCCCGGGGGCTCAGGGGCGGGGTCCTGGCACTGCTCCGTGGGGCCGTCCAGCTTCTGCAGGTTCCCAAACTCCACGGCGCTCAGCTTGGTGCCTGCGGGAAGCACAGGGCTGGCTGTGCAGGCCCTGGGGCCCCTCCCGTCCCACGCCCGAGGGAACCCGGCCATGCCCGCCGCCCCGTCCACACTGCTACATGGACATGCGGGCTGTGAAGATGACACCCGGCACAGGCTGAGGCGGGCACGCAGCCCAGAGGGCGGGAGCGTGGCCCTGAGCGCCTGCCGGCCCTCGGAGCCCGGCCCGCCTGCGCTGGAGCTCCCTGGCCAGGGCCCCCGGACACTGGGCAGGCTCGGTCCCCCAGGGCTGAGAACCCCTGATGGGTGGGCTCCCAGGGCCTGGCCGAGGGGGCCTGGGGCACTGCTGGGTGGCAAAGCCTCGGGACGCAGAGCAGTGACAGAGCCTAATGTCAGGTGAGGGTGTGTGTTCAGGGTCTGCCACAGCCCTGAGCAACCTCACTGAGAAAGAGCCGGCAGCTAGGATCACATGGGCGTGCTGAGAGCATGCCTTGGGCTGGGATCACATGCGTGTGCGTGTGTGTATGCGTGTTTGCTGGGATCGTGTGGGTGTGTGCAGGTGCGTCCATGCACATGCCTGTGCATAGCTGTGTGCAGGTCTGCACGCATGTGTGAGTGTACATGCGTATGGGCGCAGGTGCACAAAGGTGGACCTGGGCCCTGGCGGCACCCTGCAGGGAGCGGAGTGGCGGGCGCGGGGCGCGGGGCGCGGGGTGCGGGGCGCGGGGCGCGGGCTCACCGTGGGAGAAGAACTCGTCGAAGGCGGGGACGCCGTTGAAGTCCCCGCAGAGCCCGCAGGTCTGGTTGGCGTACTTGGTGTCCAGCTCGAGCTGAGGGAGAGGCCGCGTCAGGCCGGGCCCACCAGGGCGTCCGGCAGGAGGCGCCGCGAGGGTGGAGCCTGGCACCCCAGGGAGGGACTCAGGCCGCTCAGAGGGCACCTGGGCTAGGGGACCCGCCCGCGCGCCCCACGGAGCCACGGACCCAGCGGCGTCCAGTTCTGGAGGCGACGCCCCAGCCCCGGCCCCCGCCTGCCCACCCAGCTTCACCCGAGGCCACCCGCCCGCCCTCCCCGCGCCACCGCGGGGCCTGCGGTCCCCCGACTCACCAGGAGGCTGCCGTCCTGGTTCCACATGAAGACCAGGCCCAGCCGGGCCACCACCTTCAGGTAGCTGGCGCTGTGCTCCACCAGCACCCCCGACTGGCTGAAGGGCAGCTGGGTCCTGCGGGGAGAGGGGCCGAAGTGGACAGGGTGGCGGGGGCTGGACCCTGGCAGGGAGGGTCCTCCGGCCTTGGCTGTGACAAGTTCCCTGAGCCACGGATGGGGCAGCGGGTGGGACAGGGACACTCCCAGGAGCAGCCCAGAGCCCACGTCCCCCCCAGGACCGCCCCGGGGCCCAGACTCACGGGCGGCCGTTGACCAGGACGGAGCCAGGGCTCAGCTGCAGGACCAGGCCGCGGAGCTTCATGGTGACGCTGAGCGGGGCGCCGGCGGGGGCGTCGGGGCTGCGGCGTAGCTGGACGTTGAAGTCCTCGTAGGCGGCCCCGCAGTGCGCCGAGAAGACGTAGTTGCAGCGGCCGGGGAAGCGGAACACGTCGCCGTCGAAGGTCTTGTAGTGGAAGTCGCCCCACGTGCTGCAGACCCGCCCGTTGTGCGCCGGGTTCAGGGCTGTGGGGAGCGCAGCCGTGCTGATGGCCCCCTCCGCCGGCACCTGCCCGAGCCCGGGCGCCTGGGGGGTCCTGCCAGCACCCGGGGGCCCTTTTCCAACACTTAGTGTCCACCCAGGAAGCGGGGCCCCGGCCTGAGGGAGGAGGACCCCCGACCACAGCCCCCAGCCTTGCGGGGCCACTCACCGCGCACCACGGGGGCGGTCCTCAGAGGCGGGAGGATGGTCACCCCGCGCAGGGCGTCGCCTGCGGGGACAGGGCAGGTGACACACAGCCCCTCCCGCTCCTCTGCCCACACAGCGGGGGGATGGGGGGGTTGGGGGGTCTGCCCGCGTCTTGTGGCTCCCACAGCAGCTGGCTCTGCTTCCTCAGGCCTTCGCCCAGCCACCTGCTGGCGGTGCTCACCCAGACGAGGCCGGGAGGCTCCTTACGCCCAGAATCTCAAAACGCCCAAAGGGGCCCAGCGCTGGAGCGGGCCCCATGGTGCCGAGGTCGGGGCAGGGAGCCCCTGGGAACCCCTGAGAGCCCCTGGGAGATGCCCCTCGCCTCCCCCCGCGCCAGGGCCGGGAGGGCAGCAGGCCGAGCTCTGGGCCCTGCACAGGCAGCGTGGACACAGACCCACCCCGAGAGGCGCCCGCCAGCCCCTGCCTGCATGTGGGTGTCCCCAGCCAAGCCCTGGCCCCGCGGTGGGGCCGGCTGGCAGGCACCCAGGGTGGGTGGCCCCTCGGGTCCCGGGACGGGTGGGGCGGCCCTGAGAGGAGGGGGAGACTCACCGCCGGGCCCCTGGGGGGCAGGAGGGGGGTGCGGGTGCTCCGAGCTGGGTGCAGAGCTGAACTGGGCCCCGCCTGTGGGGAGAGGAGGACTGGCCTGAGCCGGGCGGGCGAGAGGCGTGCGGTGCTGGAGGGAGGGCCGTCTGCGGGGCTCTGGGCCGGCCGCCTGGGCCCTCCAGGAGCACCCCTCAGCTGAGTCCACCAGCTGGGGGTCCCCCAGCCAGACCTGGGATCTCCAGGGCATCTACTCGCTACTCCCTCATTCACAGTGCGTGTCCACACGGCAGACACCGTGCCCAGCAGCGCCCGGGGCGCGGCCTCTGAGGGGCCCGTCAGTAAACCCAGGGTCCCGAAAGCTGGTCAGGAGGCACCGGGCTCCCCAGGAAAACGGGGCAGGTTAGGGGCCGAAAGTGGGGAGGAGCTGACCCTACAGGGGGTGCCAGCCACGGAGCGGGGGGCACAGCTGGCCAGGCCGGGGGGCCCAGGGACGGTGGTGTCAGCCCCGAGGCCGCCCGAGTACCGGAGGCTGATTTTTGGGGTCCTCAGAGGCAGCCCAGATGGCAGGAGGGGCGCCAGCCCACCCCCGGGGCCCGAGGGGGAGGGGGCCGAGAGCTGTGAGCACAGGGAACCGGAGGGCGAGTCGTGTGGGTCAGGGCTGCCCACCGACAGGGCGGCGGGTGGGCAAGGGCCGAGACCCAGGCCTGCAGCCCGAGCGCCCACCAGCCCCGGGAGCTGGACACGGCGGGCGGCTGAGGCGGAGGCCGAGTTCCCGGAGCTGCTGGCGGGCACCCTCAGCTGGTCCGGAGCAGGACAGGGCTCCTGGGCCACCGCTCCCGCCGGGACCAGGGCCACCATGGACAGGGCAGCCCCAGGAGAGCCTCACCTGTGTGCTGGGCGCAGGCCAGGGCGAGGGCGAGGGCCAGGGCCCAGAGCCGCGCGGGCTCCCCGAGGCCGACACCCATGTCGAGAGGTGGGAGAAGTGGCCGCCTCTGGGGAGGGCTGCAGGCAGGAGGCTTTGTACCCGGGCTGAGGCCACGTGACTCCACCGGGCGGGCGGGGCTCGGCCGCGGCCCCCCTCGCCCAGGTAAACAGTGGGCACTGGCTGTGGGCTGGCCGGCGGCCGGAACCAGGCAGAGATGAGCGTGTGTGCCAGGGGGGTGGGAGGGTGAGGGGGGTGGGGGGCTGGCTTCCTGAGGGCACCCCCAGTCCTAGCTCAGGCATCCTGCTGCTGGGCCCCCGCCCTGGGGATCGCTCTGACCCGTGCTCATGCAGCCAGAGGCCACGGGTCTCCTCACCAGGCCAGCCTTGCGCTCCCTGGAGAGGGGACTGGGGGGCTGCTCCCAGGGCAGGCCCTTCTTCCCCACCCCCCACCTGCGCAGCCCATCCTACTGCCGCCGGCTCCCTGCTGTGCTTCAGCTCCTCGCCCCGGCAGACAGTGGGCAGTGGGCAGCTGGATTCACAGTGGCCTGTAGCTGTGAGAACAGGGGTGTCTGTGCCCAGCTGTGTGGCAATGCCACCTGGCCAGGCACCGTCCCCCAGGTCTCAGCCCTGGTGGCTCCGGCAGAAACGGCACCAGAGTGTGTGGACCCCCAGCCCCAGGCCACAGCGTGTGGACACCCGGCCCCCCCGGAGGAGGGGAGGCAGCTCAGGGAGTGGGGGCGGCTGGGCTGGGGTCTGGGACCCGAGGGGCTCAGAGCTGCTCTGAGAACCTGCAGCCACGCTCAGGACCTCCCCAGGCTCCCGGTCACCTGGTGCTCAGCGTCCGAGCCCTGGCTCAGCCCTGGCGCCTGGGAGAGAGAACTCACTCCTCACCCGTCGCAGGCGCCTGGGGGACGATGAGCGAGCGAGTGGGTTGGTGAGGGATCGCACAGGAGAGGGGGTGCCGGCAGGATGGGGGGCGTGGGACCCGACGTCCTCACCCTGCAGCACAGGCGGGAACCCGGCCCGGCCTCGGAGCCGGACACCTGTCACCTGGTGCTGAGCCGGGCGGAGGGGTCGGGGCAGGCGGACGGGTCTGCTTGTCCTTAGACGGGGACGTAGGAACCAGGGCCTGACTCCGCCCTCCCCGCGGCCCCTCGGGAGCTGGGGACCCTCAGGCTGAGCAGCCCCAGCCTGGGCCCCCGAGGTGTCCGTCTGGGTTAGATTCTCAGGGGCCAGGCGGGTGGCCTGGTGGCCCGCGTCAGGTGGTTCGAGGGGGGCTCCAGGGGGAAGCCCAGCGCGGCCAGGCCGGCATCTTATGAGCTGCAAGTTCGGGTGTGAGCTCCAGGCGGCCGGCCGTGCCCACTGCCGGGCGGGTCAGCTCGGCCTCGGACGTGCACGGCATGGTCTTCGGAGGGCCAGGCTGGTGAGTCAGGTGGGTCAGGGGTTGTGGCGTGGACTCAGGCCTGTGACTGGTTGACCTGTGGCCTCCCTGCCTCTGGGGCGTGACAGGGACAGGCCTGTGTCCCTCACGCTCCCTTGGCCTGGGTCCTGGCCCGGACTCGAAACTCAGGGTCCGCCCTGTGACCTCCCGAGCCCAGTGGGGGCCGTGGCAGGGTGGGGGCACGGGGTCCCTGACGCAGCCTGGCAGCGGCTCTGTCCCCGCTCTTGGGGGCTTCCCGCTCAGGGAGGGGCGTGCGGGGGGGGCCCCGCTGGGACGAGCCGCTGGCTCTCTGAGCCTCAGTTTCCTCATCCGGAAAAGGGGTCTGAAAGTCCCTGCAGGAAGAGGGTCACACGGGCAGGGGACTCAGTTTGGGGCTGTGTGCAGGGAGTCGGGGGGGGCACACGTGAGGACACCCTGGCCCAGGGCGGGGCCCAAGCAGGCTTTGTTCCCTGGGTGCCTGGGGCTGCCCACCCTGTGCCTGGGTCGTGCCAGCCCCCCTCCCAGGCCTGATAAGCTCTCGGAGTCAGAGAGAGAGAGAGAGAGCGCGCGAGAGCGAGAGCGAGCTGGGGTCCCACCCTCAGGACCTCCCAGGCGTTGCCATGGGGACGGGAGGTCCGTGGGGGTGTGGGGAGCTGGGAGGAGGCCCTGGCTGCATCCCAGAGCGTCACTCTTGCTGCCACGCTATCGCGGGCATGACTCACGGGGGCGCTGGGAGCGGGACAGGAAGCAGGTAGCAGATAACCTGTGTGTGGGGGTGACGGCCAGCCCACCCAGAGGAGGATGAGGCACCCGCCAGCCCGGGTCCCACCCTGAACAGGGACTCGGACCTGCAGGTGGGGTGCAGTGTGGGGCCCGGGGGACCCACCGGTCCGGCACGAGCTGCCCCTCCACGCGCCCCTCTCAGGGGAGGATGAGGATGAGGCCTGGGCCCCGGGACTCGTGGTAGGACCGACGCAGCCCCCGCCCCCGCAGGGGTCTCTCTCCTCAGGGGTCTCTCTTGGGGGTCCCACCCACTCCCCTGCCCTCCTGCTCCCTCAACACCCGCCCATAAAGGAGGCAGCTCTGGGCTGCGGCACCACGAGGACCGGCTCTGCCCAGCCCTGGACGGACCCCAGCCCTGACCCCGACCCGGCCCGGCCCAGCCTGACCCCGCCTGTTCCTGGCAAGGCCACCAGGGGGCTGGTTCCCGCCCGGCCTGTCCCTGTGCCGGCTTCTCCCTGCTCATCGCTGTGAGTCGGTCCTTTTTTTTTTTTTTAAATATATTTTTATTGATTTCAGAGAGGAAGGGCGAGGGGGGGAGAGAGAGAGAAACGTCAGTGATGAGAGAGAATCACTGATTCTGCACGCCCGCCTCTAGGGATTGAGCCCACAACCCGGGCCCTGACCCGGAATCGAACCCTGACCTCCTGGTTCACAGGTCGACGCTCAAGCCCTGAGCTGCCGGCGGCCTGGCCGGTTCCAGTCTTGAGCACAGCCGAGGTCCTGGCACTGGGTCACTGGTTGGGGGCGGACCTGGGGCTGCCCCCCCCCCGCCCCGCCCGCTCTCCCCCGCGGGCTGCCTGCCTCTCCTCTGCCCGGCCTGGCTTTGGGGCAGAAAAGAGGCTCCTGGGGCCGGCGTTCACCCTCAGGGCCCAGGAGAAGCGACCACAGCGCAGATCCTCGAATTCCACCCCCACTCGGGGCGCCTCCAATCCAGAGGTCAACAGCTGCAGGGCCTGGCCCGGACGCATCCGAAAGGAGCCCCCCCTCCCCTGCTTCTGTGTCCCCCACACGGAGTGGCCGTGCCTCCCGGGTTGGGTCCGGCTGGCGTCGGGATGTGAAGGCCGCGCCTTCGGTCCTGGGGGCGCTCACATCTCCGCCGCCCGTGAGCGGGATGCGATGGGGTCAGGGGCCACCCACCCTACCAGCTGCGGCGGCTGCCGAGGTCACAGGTGGGGGCATCACCGGGCCTCCGTGAGATGGGGACCCCGGCCCCGCCTCGGGGAGGCGGAAGCAGCTGGGCTGGTGGAGGAGGCTTAAGGATTATCGCCTGTTGACAGAGGCTGGGTGGGCTGCCCTCTCTCCCGGCCAGGAACTTCCCGATAAGGAGGAGGCGCCCGGGCCCCTCTGCTTGGCTTCGGACCGAGGGAGAGCCATGGGGTGCCCACGGGTGGGGCCCGCCTCCTGATGGGCCAGGGGCGGGTGCGCTCTGAGTGGCGGATTACGTTTGGTTTCGTGGCGGGGCCCGCTGCCCAGGGCCTCCGTGCGTGCGTGTGTTTGTTCGTCTGAATCACTGGACAAACAGAATTCCTCCCCAGGTCTCTGCCCAGGACCCGGTTCTGGCCCCACAACTCCCGCCGCAGGGAGGCCCCTCCTGGGCCCCCCGCTCCCCTCACACCCCCCACCTCCTGCCTCTCCTGCCCCGGCTGGGCCGGCCTTGCTGGGCTAGAGGGCTCTTCCCCACCTGGGCACAGGCTCCTGCAGCCCGCCTGCCCCCTGCCCTCCTCCAGCCCCAGGAAACGCAAAGGCCCTCAGCACTCCCCCGACAGGCCACCGCCCCCCCAGGTGCCCCTCACCCGCCATGGAGTCCGCGTGGGGTGTTCCCAGACCCTGGGGCAGAGCTGCTCCCAGATCCCCTCCCTCCCGACCTGAGTGCCTCTCGCTCCTGCCCCCGGGCCGGGCGGGGGCCGTGGGCGCAGACCCTGGGGCTGCTCCCTGAAGCCCAGGTGGCTGGCACGGAGGGTGGGGAGTGGCTCTCTGCACTCAGACCCCTCTCCTCTGTCCCCCCCGCCCCCCGCAGCCCAAGCCCGTGCACCTGGGGGCCTGCCAGGCGGGGGGCCTACGTGAGGACAAAGAAAGGGTCCCGAGAGAGGGCAGGTGGAGGCCGGGGCTCCCAGGGCACGGGCCTGCAGGCCCAGGAGGAGGGGACCCTCAGCACGGAGGGGGAGGGGGAGCTTTCTGAGGGCTCAGCTCTTCAGCAGACGCCTTCCTCAGTGTCAATCACACGCAGAAGTCCAGGCACCGATCCGGGCGCATCTGCAAACGGATGGAGGGTGAGGTCTCCGGGACACGTGCACCCCGCGGCCGCAGCAGCGCAGGACAGCAGGCGGGGTGGGGGGGGGGGGGGCGGCCAAGGACCCGTGACAGGGACGGACACACAGCAGGCGGCCAGCACGCGGCCCATCGCACACGGACCTCACTCCGCCTGGGAGGGGACGGGGCCCTGGCGCCTGCCCCCGACAGACCGTGGATCAGCCAGTCCCAGAGGGACAGACACTGTGTGGCCCCCTCCGAGGAGGTCCCCAGGGCCTCCATAGAGACAGGAAGCAGGTTGGGGGGCCAGGGGCGGGCGCGGGGGGAGGGCCCGGTGTTTGATGGGGACGGTGTCAGTTGGGCAGACGCGGAGCTATGCCCTGTGATGGGCAATGGGTGGTAGAATGTCATGTGATGAGTATTTCAGCACAAATTAAACAATCATAGCACTCCCCCCCCCCCCAGCAAGCCGCCGTAAGTGCGTTGGTGAGGTCCCGCCAGGCCTGAAAAGGGGGGTCACAGGGCACGCTCCTGACCCCTGACCCCGTGTCACCCCAGGGCACAGACCAGCCGTGTCTCCAGGGCCCT